GAGAATTACGTGCAGTTTTGGTCTCCGTATCTCAGGAAGGATGTTCTGACTATTGAGAGATTGCAAAGAAGATTTACCAGACTGATTCTTGGGATGGTGGGACTGATGTATGGGCAGAGCCTGAATCAGTTCAGGCTATATTGACTGGAGTTTAGATGAATGAGAGGAGGATCTCAGGGAAGCCTATAAAATTCTAACAGGATTAGGCAACATAGGTTCAGGAAGAATGTCCCAGTGATAACAACACAACACATCTGCAAGTGAGGCAACAAATTGTAGTGTCACTGACAGTTCAGATGAAAAGAAAGCATCAGTAGCAGAAGGAGTGTGTGAAACCCAAGGATCTCACCCTCTCCCTTCAGGAAACACCACTTGCCCTACCTGTGGCAGGTTTGTGGATCCAGCATTGGACTATTTAGTAACCACATGACCCACAATTCCCAAATGGAGGAAAGTCATCTTCAATCCCAAGGGACTGACTAAGAAGGAAAAGAAGGGATGTCCAAGGGGGGTGAATGAAGTGCCAATCAAGCAGGTTGCCTTTTCCAAGATGGTGTTAAGCTTTTTGAGTGTTATTGGAGCTGTAATTTTTCCCAGGCTCTTAGGAAGAATTTCACCTTACTCTTGAATTGTGCCTTGTAGATAATTGACAGACATTAAGTTATCAGGAAATGACTTGATCATTGCAGACTTCCTGGTTTCTAACCTGATCTTAAAATCACAGCATTTATATGGCTCGCCAGTTCAGTTTCTGAGCAATAGTAAACACCAGCATGTTCATGGTGGGAGATTCAGTGATGATACTGCCATTAAATGTCAAGGGGTGATAGATTCTCTCTTATTGTAGGTCGTCATTGTCTGGTATTGGTGTGGTGTGAATGTTACTTCCAGCTTATCAGCCCACATCTGACAGTCCAGATCTGGTTGCTATGGACACTGATTTCGGCAGAGACATGAATGATGCTGAACAAAATGCATTCATCATCTCTGACCTCATGCTGGAAGAAAGGTCAATGATGGGACAGTTAAAGCTGGTTAGATTTCGGACACTGCACTGATGTCCCAGGACTCAGATGATAGGCATCAAACAATCACAACCATCTTTCTTTGTGATAGGTATGACTCCAACCAATGGTGAATTTCTCCCATGATTCCTCTTGGTTCAAGTTTCGATACAGCTTTTGCAAAGCACACTACATTGGGCAGGAGAAAGCAAATGTCTAGAAATGGATTAGCCTTATGTTTTGGATATTGGCATCAAGATTCACAACCTGCCATTGCCTGGTCTGGTCAAAGTGCCAGCTAAAATTCATCTACCCGTTTTAACAGCATAATGGTGACACAAAGCCATACACTAACTGTATTGCTGTAGGCTGTTAAATGCTGCTGTTTACTCAAGGGGGGACCCAAGCAGCATTGTTTATAAACTTTGTGGTAAAGGCAGTCTATTCTTCTTAAAGTCAGGTGGGGAGGCTTTGGGTTAGTGGTATTATCACTAGACTATCAATCCAGAGACCCCAGTAATGATCTGGGGATTGAGTTCAATGAAACAAAAATCTAGAAGTAAGTGTTTAATGATGACCATGAAACCAGTGTCAATTGTCAGCAAAAACCCATTTGGTTCACTAATGTCCTTCTAGAAAGGAAATCTGCCATCCTTACCTTGTCTGACCTACCTGTGAATCCAGACCCACAGCAATGTGATTGACTCTTAACTGCTCTTTGGCCAGTTAGGAATAGGCAATAAACGCTGGCCTAGCCAGTGACGCCCACATCCTGCGGATCAATTAAAAAAAAGTCCCAATTAAAAATCTCCATTTCTCACCTAATACCACTATCTTCAACTCAGGCTCACACCTAACATCTAAATGCCACACCTCATCTTCACACACCTACTTTTGCTGCCAACCACACACACACTCCTCTCACCTCCTTCACAAGCTTCCAGCTATGCAGCACTTCAGCACTGTGCTACACAACCACCAACATCTTGCCCTTTCACTTGCAGGAAGGAAAAGGTTCTCTGCATCATGGGATCTATAGCATCCAGTGAGCTGGAGAACATTGAGGATGGTGGCATATTTCTCACTTACATCCTTTGTCAGGTCTCAGCTCACACTCAACCCCAGTATCTGGCATGGTGGGCAATATACTGATGGTGAAATTCTGGACATCTTGTTTTCCACTACAGCACCCACAACACAGAATTATTGAATGGCTACTGTGCACACAGGGTCCATTTAAGTTTAGGTTCTTCTCATTCATGTTCATTTTACAACCTGGAACCGTTTCTCCTTATCTATTTTGTCCAGCTCCCTCATGGTCAAAGAATCATAGAGTCATACAGCATGGAAACAGACCCTTCGGTCCAACCAGTCCATGCCGAACATGATCCCAAACTAAACTAGTCCCACCTGCCTGCGCCAAACCATATTCCTCCAAACCCTTCCTATTCATGAACTTATCTAAAAGTCTTTTAAATGTTGTAATTGTACCCACATTCACCGCTTCCTCACAAAGCTAATTCCACACATGAACCACCCATCTGTGTAAAAAATTTTCCCACCATGTCTTTTTTTAAATCTTTCTCCTCTTACCATAAAAATGTGCCCCCTATCTTGAAATCCATGTCCTAGGGAGAAGACAACTACCATTAACGCTATCTATACTCCTCATTACTTTATAAACTTCTATTAGGTCGCCTCTCAACATCCTGTGCTCCAGTGAAAAAAGTCCCAGCCTATCCAGCCTTTCTTTACAACTCAAACCTTCCATAGCCAGCAACATCCTGGTAAATCTCTTCTGAACCCTCTCCAGCTTAATAATATCCTTCCTATAACTATACTGGACACAGTATTCCAGAAGAGGCCTCACCAATGTCCTGTACAACCTCAACAGGATTCCCAATTCCTATACTCAAAGGAATGGGCAATGAAGGCAAGCATGCAAAACACCTTTTTAACCACCCTGTCTGTATGTGACACAAACTTCAAAGAATTATGTATCTGCACCCCTAGGTCCTTCTGTACTACAACACTACCCATGGCCCTAACATGAATTGTTTGTTTTACTAAAATGCAATATCTCACATTTATCCAGATTGAACTCCATCTGCCATTTTTCAGCCCATTGACCCATTCGGTCAAGAACCCTTTATAATCTTTGAAAACCTTCTTCACTGTCAACTAAACCAATATCAAATCTTCTCTTAGCCTTCTCCTCTTCAAGGAAAACAATATCCAACTTTCTTAATTTATCTCCATAACTGAAGTTTCTCATCCCTGCAATTCTCAAAATGCATTTACATCATTCCTGACGTTTGTTGCCCACTTCTGTTATACTAAACATCCCCTCCAAGTTCTGAAGAAGGGTCACTGGACCCGAAACATTAACTCTGCTTTCTCTCCACAGACCTGATGAATTTCTCCAGCAATTTTTGTTTTTGTTTCAAATTTCCAGCATCTGCAGTTCTTTGTTTATATTCCCTATAAGTTCCTGTCTCTAAGCTCCCAAGTACTGCCTACAAGCAAAAGCTACAGATGGAGGAAAGTGTGCAACAGCCTTGTACTGTGGAAGAGGCCCGAGCACTCCTGGGCAACAGCTTATTGGTGCTCCATGACCTTGAAAATTGGTACAAAACTGGGATCAGTGTATTCTAAGTCGTGTAGGCAAGGGTACGGCCAGATATGTTTGCCAATTCACTACAAGGTAAGGTAAGCACTAATGCAGAGAATGCAGATAAAAACCTTGATGGAGGAACATACAGGTAACTGCCGAACAGGAAGGCACACCAAGATATGGGGTGCATTGACAGCTTCCTGTTGCTATGGAAGAGCATGGGAATGGCAGCCACCAACTCACCAAAGGAGTAACATAAAACCCAGTCTCTGGGCAGCCTCTATTCCATCTTTGTATTATACTGCAGAGCAAGATTCACTCCCAGCTCTGCCCTCATAACTGTTGCAGACATTGTATGGGCAAGTCACCTTCTTCTCTGCCATCCCAGTGGGGTTGAGACATTATCTTCTACCAAAGGCAGGAATTCACGAAAACATCTCCAACAATGCTCCAGATTACTGTAAGACACTTTTCAATAGAAGTATTACAAATAATCAAGTTTCTTGACATTTTAAATAATGCTACTGCAGGGTCTGTCTTTTCATCTTCATGCCTCTCCTTTCATGACCAAACAATGCAGATGGATCCAAAAATAAAGTTGCTGGAGAAGCTCAGCAGGTCTGGCAGCATCTGTGAAGGAAAAAGCAGAATTAACGTTTCGGGTCCGGTGACCCTTCCTGTTCGGAGGAAGGGTCACCGGAGCTTCTCCAGCAACTTTATTTTTGTTCCTGATTTACAGCATCCGCAGTTCTTTCGGTTTTTTTTTAATGCAGATGGATCCTATGGTTTATTGCCCAAATTTGAGACACTGACTCCACATCAGCTGGTTGGTTGTATACTGGCAGATTGGTCCCTCATCAATATCCTCTGCTCCACAAAGGACATGGAAGCTATGTATTCTCCACTAACATTGTCAAGTCAAACCTGTTAGTAATTCGTTGTGCCCCTGTAAAATGCAGTAATGTGTTTCTGTCATTGTTGTGGTCCTGAAGTTTACAGCTAATGTGTTTAGCCAAACATTATTATTGCTGATTTTTGAATTTATAGTCGAAGCTGCAATAACACAAAAGCTTTCTAATTTGAAAGTTCTCTGCTCACTGTGTGTGTGTCTCAATCTCAGAGTTTATGGACAAAATGGAATGGCAGAGTAAGCTATATCACTGTGCAGGAATTCAAGCCACTTAACCATTTACCTGAGGTTCTCAATAATTATGACTGATGTTAAACATTTACAAACCAGTTTGGCAAGGGTCATAACAATGGTTAAGTGGATCAGTCTCATGAATTGGGAAATGCACATTGAATAGGTGAAAATAAGTGAACACATGAATATGTTACCTTTCATTTGTCACTGGCTAACATCAACTTTAAATCTTCAACAGGATTAATGAAAAAAATAATTGCAGCTGTAACATTGGGGCACCATTACCTTTAACAAAGACTTATGATCAGAAAGACATGCTAGCAATCGAAAAAAGAAGAAAAATACAATTTGAACAACACAGAAAGAGGTATCTAATTTTGAAGATGTTGTTTGCATAGTGACTGCCACAGTTGATTTCCCAAAATTCCAAATCTGACCAATTAGGAGGCTGTTTAGAACTTCCTCTACTGTTCCTCAGCAGTGCGTCTCAACTCTAAATTCAGAAGGTTCCTATTTCCTAATCCATTATTAACACAAATTTTAAAAGTAAACAGAAAGGGTAGAATCCCTGCTGTATTATTCAATAAGATAATGATTCTTCTTCTTATCTTGGCTACATCATGAAGCCCTGACAGTGTCTAAACATTGATTGATATCTGATTTGAATATTTTCATTAACTGAGCAACCACAGGTCTATAGAGTTGAGAATTCCAAAGAGTGACAAACTGTTGAGTGAGAAAAAGTTATATTCATCTCAAATCCAAAGGGCTGATCTCTAATTTTCAGATGATGAATCCGAGTTCTAGTCTGCCCAGCTAAGGCAAACGTCTTTCCAGCTTCTGACTTTAAGAGTCTTAAGGATCTAAAGTTTCAGTGAGATTATTTCTTATTCTAGCAAACGACAGAGACCTCAAACTACATAAAATATCACATAGTCACTAATGCAAAATTCAGAAACCTACCAATGGAAAGAGTGGAAAACTGTGGAATTCATTTCCTTAAGGGATGCTTCAGCTGAATAGCACAATGAAATATCAAAAGGAACTAGATCAGCAGAAGAATAGCAGCAAATGATAGAGGTCTCACTTCTGTGTCAGAAGTTGCAACATTCAAACGCTCAACCAGGTAAATGTGGAAGCAGTGAATAACCCCAATTCTCAAGACTGAGATGTCTCAGTTGGACGCTAGCATCTGCTGGATTGCAGCTTCCATAAAATATTCTAGTCGTATCAGAGTGACCACTTGATTGACACATACTAATTTAGCTACAGCCATATCAGACTATTAATCAGCAAGAAACCATTTCCTGTATTTAAAACTACATTTTAACATTTCTATAGTAGTTCTATAGCTCGGCCAAACAAGCAATGTGACATTTAGAGGAAGAGGAGGAATCGAGAGAGGTGGGAATGAGAAATGTTGCCTTTCTTTCTTTGGCGTGCAATGATTTATTTAAGTGCACGGCTCCTGCAAATATCTTGGCAAGCGGCAGATGCAGCAGAATAGATGGTCTCACACTGAGTGACGAAAATCTCCTTGAGCCCATTGCACTTGTTTTTTGAGATGAGGTTGGAGGTGGCAGGGAGAGTTGTTTAAGGAGGTGGTTTTCAGTGTAGAAAAAAAGCTAGGTGTTGCTTGTATATTCCAGGATGATCCTGGCATAGCATCATTTTAGTAGAAAGGAGTTAGACACAGTCATACTTCATAGAGGCCAGCCAGGTTAATACGTGTACTCATTGTCTGTCATAAACTTTCAAGCCTGTGATCACGGACTTCAGGGAGTCGCGATAAGAGTCATGCCAGGGAGAATGACCAGGTTGTGATTCAGCACATCAGTAGCTGTCATGGTACTAAGGTATATGGAGAGAAGAGGAGCCAGCTGAAATTTTCAAAGTGCAATCTTAAGTGCCTTGGATGAGAAAATGCAAAACGGGTGCACACAGAAGAAAGTGGACTTTTGAGTGGAAGGGGAGATGTGGACATAAAGCAATACAAGGAAATAATCAATTATGGACTTGCGATTAACACAATGAGAATAGTAAGGTCATGGGAGATGCCAGCTACGCATTTGGATGGTGGAACTTAGGTGAAAAGAGAGAATGGGGAAAGTTGGAAGACAGTGAATCCAGGGAGTCTTGAGAGAGAGGTAATGAGTTGAGATGGGGATTAAAATATTTAAGGGTGCAAAGTGATTCATTCAGAAGCTAACAGGCAACATTAGGTAGATATCACAATTAAAAATTTGGAGTGGTAAATAGGTAATTGGCAGACAACACAATATTTTACAAATGGCAAATGTGATAGAGAAAATTGAGGTACTTAAAGGAGGAGGTGCAGGAGGAATAGGGGTCACTCCAGGATGTGATTTGGTGATTAGGGCAACACCAAAGTTGCAGCAATATGGGCAGGCCCGACAGCAGAATGTAGAGCCAGACAGGGAAGTCTTTTTTCTTTTAAGGAATGTATGGGTGGGTCATCATCTCTCTGTCAAGTTTCATCAAGGCCATGATACAATCATCGACAACAATCTCATTGATGGCAAGGACCATTTGTACATGTTAATAGACATTCTGGAGGTTAGTATGGATGAGGACTGTAATAGCCTTTACATTGACAGAGTACCAGGGTCAGCATTGGGATGGATTATGGGGGCAGAAGAAAATTTGGAAACATTAACTCTCAACAGGCACAGTGGGCAGGAAGCTCAGCAAGAGAATAAGATGTGGCAGCTGGGGATAGTGCTTATAAGGGAGCAGCAATGGATACATCAAGAAACTCTTCCACAATGTAAAGGCCAGCATGAAGAGACAGTCTAGGCTTGTCGAGGAGATAGTCAAACCCAGGATAGCAGGCAAGTAAAGATGTTGAGATGGGATTAAATGTTGGGGCAGTAATTGGTTGAGAAATGAAAGGAGATGTGATAAAAGGAAAAAGGTGATTATGAGGTCTGAAGAGAAGAGGCGAGGCTTCTACAATATTTATATAACTGACCACTAAATCCTAGACACAGCAGCTGAATGTTACAGGGTAATATAATGGAGAAGTGTCGCCTTAACATTCAGAGAAGGGAAGGAATTTGATAAACCAAGTTTAAGTAAAGATCTGTATGCTCACTGAGGTTAAAAAACCAGCATGTACGGCCAGGAGTGCACAGTAGTAACTTTAAACTCTAAGGTAACTCAGAGTTAAGGCTAAAATTCACCCTCCATTAGGATCAGAGAAACATAAACAGTGGAAGAGAGAAGATTGTGAGATAAAACTCAAAAGTAAGCAACAGATGGCAAAGGGTAGGGTTGAACAGTCGTGGTGCTCCGTAGGGAGCTGCCAACCCAAGAACCATCTTAACAGAGATCTATTTTCCACAGAATCAGTATGAAAATAAAACAAACAAATCTCTTTGAGAGAGCAGGCTTAAACTTGAACACGAGCCCAATGGTCTATTCCTTTCAAAAGAGGTCAAGTTGAAAATGGAATGGGTGCCACTATTTATTTTAATGGGTAGTGTTTCAACTGTTACAGTAATATTTTGAAGTTCATACAATTTTAGCTGGAGATTCATAGAAACATAGAAACATTTGGTTCAAGTTTATTGCAAATGAAAACATCGCTCATCAATTAAGTGGTACATAATTAATTATTTCTATGCAGGAATGAATCACCGTTGAAGAACATAATCATAGCTCAACCCAATTCCCCACTAAGCTATCCCATCCATGGAGCTGAAGTAATGCCACTCCAGTCAATTGTCATTCCAGGTGAGAATAGCAACTTAATTTTCAGAAAAACAATGAATTTGTTCATTTTTACTTTTCCATTTTTTATGAAACATAATCTCTTCTTTCAGGTTTAAGTGTGTTTGCAATCGAAAGAGAGGAGTATACGGTATGTATAATTTTACATTCTCTTTTACTTCCACATTTCCTCACTGATTCAGGGGGCCAACAGTCCCATAGCTATTGGTATCCCTTCAGCACATTGTTCAACAAGGTGCTGGTCTGTACCTATGAGCCCACACGTGATAACCAACAGGGCTTTGAGTGCAGCTGGTCTCACAACTAGCACTCTTAACCTGGGACTCAGAAGATGTTAGGCTCCAGCCATGTTATGGAATGTGAGTTCCTAATCAAGGCTAAAACTTCAGCAGAGCACTGATTTGTTGGAGACATTACCTTTGGATAAAATTAGATTGCATTCCTGCTAATTAAATGCATTTTTGTCCCAAATACCTGAATTATCCAATATTTGAATTGATCAAATAAATAAGAATGAAGTGTGGTTTGCAATTTAGTGTTAAAAATTTTAAGTGTCCTATACTGAAAGTGTCACTTCAACTCTATGTACTTTTGCATCACTGCCTGACAATGCCAAAAGGTCCTTTGTGTTATTCCTTTGTCTAAAAGTTTTATTTGTCTAAAAATATGAATAAGGTAACACACTGTCACATTCTACACAATAGCCTAAAATCACTATTGAAGGTATTATTGACAAACATTTCATGCTTTTGTCTACCATTCATTTATCAAATTTTAAAAGTGTTCATCTTCACCCTCTCGTCCCATCAGTTATAGCTGCCTATTGCTCTACTTTGATATTCCTTCTTTCTTCATGGTCTCTTTCTCTTCCTTCATTTCTGACTCTCTCATCTCCTCAATGAGGTATCAATTAGCACACTTGGCAAAGAAAAATTGTCATGATCCCAGATAATGTTATTATGGTACAAGTCAGATCCTAGACTGATAGATCCTTCTGTCTTGATACATCATATTTTGCTTTGTTTCTATTTAATGAGGTGGTCCTTCTCTGACGCACAAGCATGCAATGTTGCAGATTTGGCTTTAACAATAAAACATAAGTACATTATGTAAAAGCAAGTAAGATAAAATAGACTAAATGAAGCAATCACCATGAACACAATTTGAAATATTACAAACATACTATAACATATTCCATCCATCCCAACAGCACCCCTTTATAGTAATCAAACAGAGGTAATTCCCTTTTTTATCACATCTAAGTTTGATTCAACTGTTGTTTTCAATTCTCAGTCTTAAGTGTTTTATAGCCTCCTGATTGAGTATTCACACACTGAGTATTCACACACTGAGTATTCCTCAGCTTTAAATAATACCTTCACGGTTGAAGCCAAACATATCTGATCTGGAGCTTTCAAAATAAAACCTTTAAATTGAGGTAACCTATTTCTAGCTTATCTGAACTCTTGCTTCCAGGAGAACTGTTCCACACATCCAACTTCAACCAAGACATCTGCAAAATGAAACTAAAAAGTTTTCTAACTGAAAGCAAGCTAATGCTCTTCAGTGGTTATTCTGTCTGTTACTAAAACTCAACCTATGTAAACAAATTCCCACAACCACTCCATACCTTTTCTAATAAAAAAAGTGGATCCAGGAATACTGAAACGTTAATTATTAAACACCTCATCCTCACAGACCAGCCACATGCAATTTGTTCAAAATCCAATCTCTAAAATAAATATTACACCCCCTACATCACAAGATTAAAACTAAATCACTCTCTATAACAGGATCGTTACCAAAAGCTGGAACCATGTGGCACAGCCTTGCAGTTCTTTATTGACTTTGAAGACTTACCTGGGACAAAGGAAAATCAAAAAATTACAATTTAATAGAGTTTAAAGGAGATAATTGTCTGTTTTGGAGAAAAAGTAACTCACGAAAAATAAACCTCGCTCTCTGGCAATTCAACAGGTTCCCTGCTTGGAATCCTAATCTGACTGAGACAGGTAGCTTCTACTCAGAATGGGAGCATCCCAGAGACATCCAAATGGGTCTCCATCCTGGGCTGATGGGTTTGGGGAGGTGGTGCTCAATTACAGGGAAGGTAAAATTAGGGGCTTCTCATTCCCAAGGTCTTGTGATGAGGAGATGGAGTTGAATACATTAGGTAGAGATTGCAAGCCTTGGGGGGATATCAGAGGCTGAAGGTGGAATGTTGGAGGGTTAGAAAATTTTGAAGGACTCTGAGAGGTAGATGGCAGATCAGTAAGTTTGGTGGTTCGAGATGGGGGAGGATCCGAACATGAAACTTTCCCAGCAAAACACAATAGATCCAAAGTTAAATGGAAAGCTGGATATCTTGAGTTGAAATGAAAAGGTTGAAAGCCAAAAGGCTCACAGCCTCAGTTTAGTGATTCAAGCTAAGCTACTTCCTTGAAGTGTAGTCAAAATTCCAAATCCATTAAAATCAGAAGTTGGTACGGATTTTGATATTTAATTCTTTTATCCCTGCAGATATCCCAAACCCATACATTTTTGTGGTTAAAATTCCCTACTTGAGGTTAAAAGAAATGTGCATAACCATATGGTCAACCTGTAGGCAAATTAATGTATTAGTGGTGACCATGATTCATGAAAATAAACTATATTCCAGTAATTTGAATGCTTATCTTTTGGAAGGTGGGAGTTTTACAAGGCTTTCAATGGTATATTACACCTTGAGTATGTATCCTGAAGAGGTATGACGGCATCTTGCTAGTCAACAGGGCTAGAGACTGCAGTCATGTGATGAACAGGCAATGGAAGGTTTGAGTGCTGCCTATCTCACCTTGACTGCTATGGATACTTGTACATCACAAACCCTGTGTTTACTAATTCAATTTATCAAATTTTAGCTCATTCAGTCCACTGAATTATCTGAAGTTATAGCAATCTCCAACTACACAGATTCTATACTTCTGAGATACACAGTCTAAAGAGGGGAAACCTATTATAAGATTTGAAAAGAAAACAGAAAATCTTGATTTCCTTGGCATTTTTCATAGTCACCGAAAATCTCAAAACAACTTACAGCACTAAAATATTCTTGTCAACCGCTGTTGCAATGTAGAAATGTAGGAGTCAATTTGTGCACAGCAGCTTCCCACAAAAAGTTTGTAATAGTGAGCAGCTAAATCAACTTTTGTGACATTAATTGAGGGATTAATATTTGTCAGATTATCAGGGATGACTGCCCAGTTCTTATTCAGTTTAGTGTTCTGAGATCTTTTACATCTATGCAAGCAAGTAAATGCCACTTCACTTTGAGGTCTTACCTGAAAAACAGCATCTCTAATGGTGTAGCAGTCCCAGAATGGGATATGGATCAGAAATCTTACCAACTGAGACACAAGTGACATTACTTACATTAAATTTCAGAGATTAAATGGAGTGGTTCATCATTAAATAGATATTGACTGTCACTGTTTCCCAGGTATTCAATTGCACAAACATATTTTAGAGTTCTACAAACTCTACACCATATTTATGCACTGAAAGGCATTTGTGTGAGGTTAATTACTCATTTTCTCATTATTTAGGTGAAACTAACAGTTACGCAAGGAGTATTTAACACAATTGCTGAGGTCCCACAGGGTGTGCTGAAAGGTTTAGGTGACAAAGAATTAACAATAACAAGCCCACACTTGGAACTCATCAATGCCGTACTTAAATATATTACTTACACAAGCAAAAAATATCACATCGATACAGTAGATATAGGTAAGTTCAGTCCTTAATATTTTCATTTATTGATGTAGTCTCAAGTTACCTTTCAATTCAATCTGAAGATGAAGTTAATTCCCTTTCTTGACTATTTATTCCAGATTGTCTGACATGGTGGAAATGTTAAAAATGAAAAAAAAAATGTTTACAATTATTTTTGGCTGACTCTGTAAGGAGACATCTAGCTGATAATATTATTACACTTTGTAATCAGAAAATGCACTGTTAGTTAGTAGTGATTAAAGCTCTAAATGCGGAAATATCTAGTCACTAACATCTGGTTTGACTTATGCAACATTATCCATCACTGTCTCTGTTTTAGCTCATCTGCACCTGAAATCATCATCCGTGATTACTTCCATTTGTGCCCACTGAAATGTACTGCTGGTCAATCTTCTTCCTTATAACATTGAGTTCATCCAAAGTTCTACTCATATTTAATTTGTACTATGTATTGTTCACCCATCAACTCTGTGATTGCTGACCTACAATGGCTCTCAATACATCAATACATTGTTGATGGTGGGGATTCAGGAACGGTAATGATTTTAAATATCATTAGGAGAGATTAAATTCCACCTTGGTGGAGGTTATCACTGCTTTGCACTTGGTTGATACAAATGTTACTTGCCACTAAGTATCCAAGCCTGAATAGTGTCCAGGTCTTGTTACAAATGGGCACAGGCTGCTTCAGGTTTGAGAAGTCATAAATGGTGTTAAACATTTTGCAATTATCAATGAATATCTCCACTTTTGACCTTGTGATGAAATGATGGTCATTCATGAAACTGCTGAAGGTGGTTGGGCCTACAGTAATACTCTAAGTAATTCCTGCAGCAACGCTAGAGGCCAAAGTAATTGGTCTCCAGCAGCCCCAACCATCTTCCTTTGTGCCAGATATGACTGTCCTAATTGGCACTGGCTTCAAACATGCTTGGGCTCATTAATGTCACATACCCAGTCAAAAGCTGTTTTGGGATCAGGGAAGACTCTCTTACATCACCATTTGAGTTTAGCTCTTTTTTTCCTGTTTTGAACAAAACAATAGTTAGGTCAGGAGATGAATGGCATCACTGAGCATCAGCAAGCAGATTATTGCCATGCAAGTGCCCTGTGATACAGACGTCTATTACCCCTTCCATTACTTTGCTGATGATCGATGGAAGACTGGCCGGAATTTAGTGGCTGGTCTAGATTTATCCTGCTTTTTAAGAGGATGTATCTGGGTAATATTTCACATTTCCACTGGTTAGATACCAGTGTTGTAGTTTTATTGGAACAGTTTGACTAAAGACGCATCTAGTTCTGGAGTACAAGTCTTCGATGCTATTAACAACATGTTGTTAAGACCTGTAGCCTTTGTTACTTCCAATGTCTTCAGCCATTTGTTGATATCAAATGGAGTGAATCAAATTGGCCAAAATGACTGATATTTAAGATGCTGGGGTCCTAAGGAGGAAGCATTACCCACATCAGCCAGCTGAACATGGTTGCAAACATTTAGTCTTGTCTTTTGTAAAGTCCCAGATTATTGCCTCCAGTCTCCCCTCTGTCATTGAGGATGGACGTTTTTGTGGAGCTTCCTTCTCCTCCAATCATTGCTTAGTTGTTCATCACCATGAATGTAGCAGGACAGCTGAGCATAGATCAGATCCCTATTGTTAGAAGGACGAAATGTTGTTTGCATAATGCAAGAGACCAAACTATATGAGGAAGTTATTAAATAAAAGCACAAAGCCTGCACTGAGGGATATCCATCACAGGAGAATTCCGACTGCGCAGACAAAGCATTTTGAAATAGTAGCTCCTCCTTGCCCTGTGGACTAAGGGTGCAAATAATTCAACAGATCCCTCAAACAGCAAGATCAATACAATCAGTAAATACTGACGCATGGTAATCTTTAGTCTGTACAGCCAGCTTAATACCCACAAAAAGAGGAACGCATGGAAAGTAAAAATGTACTTTTAAACTTGGAAGACTATAACAAGTTTAAGCCACTATTCCAGGAAGAAGAACCAGGTGGTATTTTAACATGCTGAACCAGGTTTTGTGTGCTTCCTGTTAGTTCACAGTTATCTGGGGGACGCAAGAAACAGAAGCTGAACACTTCCACATGACTGAATACTGTATCTCTATCATAAAAACAACATGAAAGTCATTAGCTTCAATGTTCATTTGGAAGGAACTTAAAAGTACATTCGATAGAGTCAAACTATGTCATAAACAAATTTTAGAATTAAGAAAGGACCAAGAGTTTTGAGGGTAATGGCATAAGCTATCTATTCTAAATTTCAAGACAAGCAGAATTGTCATAATGGCAGTAGGAGCAAGATTTCTCATTTAGTTTAAGAACCAGAATAAAATATTTTTTGCGCATTATTAATAACTTAAATTGTTACAGTCTTTCTGTCGGTGAAACTTTACAAATCTTCTACTCAGAAAACATATTCTATGGTACCTATTTTACATATGATTTGTTTTTATAAAAGTGTCTTTTCAGTTTGAAGAGCATGTTGCTGAATTTCCGATTATTATCAGGCAGCCCCCAATGCCACGGTTGTTTGATCCCGGTCCAGGTAAATTTGGTTTCATTATGGGTTCTGAACATTAGAGTTTTGATCAGTTAATTGTCATTAACATTGTTCCCTCAACTAATTTAAATTGTCTTTCCTTATTCCAGACAATGACATCAGTTCCTTGGTAACCATTACAACAAAGACATTTTTAAGATATCATAAGCTTCGAATCTTGATAGACAGCATTCGGAGATTTTACCCAAACATGATGATAATCATTGCAGACGACAGTGAAGTTCCTGAAAAAATTGAAGGACCCCACATCGAACAATACATCATGCCATTCGCAAAAGTATAGTAAAGATTTCCGTATTCAATTTATATCCCTTGAAACAAAAACAAGATCTGAAAGCACATTTCAACAAATTGGGATTGTATGATATCATGATGGATTTCTGTCCTTTGCAACCCATTTACTGTAACCTTAACATTAACATTTCCAATGTGGACTGTGAGTATGGTACAAAGATCAGTGCAAGGTTTTTTTTAATTAAACTTATTTTTTAATCAACCTGTTCAGAGATATTATTACACACCTCTGGAGCAGGTGGGACTTGAACCTGGACCTCCTGCTTCAGGGGTTGGATACTACCACTGCACCACAAGAGGGCCCCCAGTTTAAGTTTGTTCGAGGTTATTTTCAAGTAACAGCCAAAATGAGCATGAATTAAGTTGATGTTCCATTTACCTATTTATTGTGGTATGAACTTCAGCCACTTGTGAACCCAGGCTCAATAGAATGGTTACATTGAGCTGCACGCACCAAGCAGAAAAATAAGCATGTCATTAAAAGGAAACATTCTGTTGAGAATAGAAGGCTAGGTGATGTGGTAGAACCCAGCTCTTAGTAGACTAAAACATATTGATATTTTGTAGAAGCTGAGTTGTATTTGGAGGCAATGGTCTCATGATATTATTGCTAAACTATCAATTGTATAGAGCTAAGTAATATTCGAGGGACCTGGCTTCAAACCCTGCCATAGTGGATGATGAAATTTGAATCCAATTAAAATCTGGAATTAAGAATCTGATGATGAAACCATAGCCAATTGTTAGAAAACCTCATCTGGTTCACTAACATCTTTAGGGAAGGAAATTGCTGTCCTTTCCTAGCCCGGCATACGTGAGACTCCAGACCCACAGCAATGTGGTTAATTCTCAAATGCCTTCTGGCTGTATAGGGGCAATAAATGTTGGCCTAGCCAGTGATGGTCACATTCCATGAACAAATAATGGAAAAAAATCACTCTCCATGTTTCTTCCATTATTTTTCCTCGGTCTATCCCTGGATAAGTGAGGTTACCTATTATTATGATTGCATATATTAACTCTACTTTAATAGTTTGCTCATTAATGTAGGATAATTAAGATAATTTGGGCAAGTGTAGAAACATTAAGGACCACTGTAGTAATTTGTGTACGGAGCCAAAGGACCTAGGTAGGGTTCTAAATGAATACTTTGTGTCAGTGTTCACTGGTGAGAGGGATAGAAATCAGGGTGAAAAACTGTGATATAATTCAAGAAATTAGCATAGACAAAGAGGGTCTGAGTGATCTGTCAGGCTTAAAATTAGGCACTGATAAGACCACACCTTGAGAATTGTGCGCAGTTTTGGACTTTTACCTGAGAAAGGATATGCTGGCTATGGAGGGAGTGCAGCAAACATTTACCGCACTGATTTCTGGGATGGCAGGACTGATGTATAAAGAGAGAAAGGATCTGTTAGAACTATATTCACTGGAGTTTAGAAGAATGATGGGTATCTCATAGAAGCCTATAAATTCTAACAGAACTAGATAAGATAAAGCCAGGCTGGAAGTTCCCAATGACTGGGGCGTTAAAAGCCAGCGGTCACAGTTTAAGGATATGAGGTAGGCCATTTAGGACTGAGATGAAGAGAAATTTCTTCACCCAGGCTGTGGTGAGCCTATGGAGTTCTCTGCACCGAAAGCAGTGGCCAAAACATTGAATATTTTCAAGAAGGAGTTAGATATGCTTTTTAAAGATTGATCAAAGGGTATGGGGAGTAAGTGGGGCTAAAGTTTCGGGTTGGATGTTCAGCCATGATTATATTGAATGGCAGAGCAAGCTTGAAGGGCTGAATGGCCTACTCCTGCTACTATTTCTACACTTCTGTGAAAGAGGCAAAATGATATTGATGATATGGCACTGTGTTTGCTTTACATTCCTGCAATAGCTGAATATCTGCAGGTATGGGGAAACAGCAAGTGGTGGGTATGAGGCTGACAGCATTTGTAGGAGTCTGAGTTGGAATGGCTTTATTTTAGGCAGGAGTCCTGAGGAAACATTGCTTGGTAAGTGTCGTGGATGTTTTGCATTAAACAAAGTGAGAGATTGATAGTGGGGTGGAAAAGAGATATGATGAAAATATACATTCACTGATATTGATATCCCACATGAGTTCATGAAACTTCTTGTGGCACTGCTGCTGGGTCCTTGAGGTTAAATGTTAAAACTGACATTCCTACTGTCAGCTCCCACTCATTCCTGAGTGTTGTCCTAACTGGCTTGCTTTGTCCCTAGGCATCGTGGCAATTCTCCCCTTGCTCATTTCCACCACTGTCCAAAGGATTACAACACCAAATTTTACTCCCACACTGTCATAGACTCTGCGTAGTGCAAAGACAGCTGGCAATGCAGCAGATACTTAACCCTACAGTAAAACCACAGTGTTGAGGAGACTTCACTAAACATACATGATATCAACCTCCAAAGAAACTAGTGGGGGCAAGTCTCAAATTGCAAACCACTGCACGAAAAAAAAATTTTTGGTCCCTATTGCTTCAGGTATTATGGCTAATTATGCCTTTTGCCTATTATGTAACATTGTTTGTTTGCTTATTCTAGAAGCTTTAGCTTTAGGTGAGTTCCAGTCTTGCCAAAATTCTTGCTCATTGTTAACTGGCATGACAGGTTTTCTTTCCTTTCTAAATTTCACACAGTATCCTTTATTATTAAAGACTGGGGTATTTAAAAGCCTTGTAGTTGTATCTGAAAAATGGGCAGAACAAGGGAAGAAGAAAATATTTGAGAATGGAGCAACTCTACTACTATTACTCTCACTTAATGCTACACAAAATCATTCTTGTAGTATTACTGAGGCCAACCCAATTTCAAAGACTCAAATTCTCCTCATTTATTGATCTTGAAACTCTTGGCATGTTTTTCTTCATAGGGATGGTTTGCTGGAAGAAATTTGGCAGCTTCTCAGGTCACAACTAAATACCTTCTTTGGGTGGATGAAGATTTTTTATTCACAAAAGATACAAAAGTGGAAAAGCTGGTGGAAGTATTGGAAAACACAAACTTGGATGTGGTAAGTACAGACCTGGGTAAAAGTGAAGTAATGTATTTCAAATGTTTTAAATTAGGAACAGGAGTAGATCATTAAGCCTATCAAACCTGCTGTGTTATTTAATTAAATCATGGCTGATCATCTCCCTCAATCCACCTCAATGCCATTTGACCCATTATCTGTAAATTTGTTGGTATCATTAGTCTCCAGAAATCTATTGAATTAAGTTTTGAATATGTATAATGACTGAGCTTCCACATTTCATCACCTTCTCTGAATGAAAAAAGATTCCTCCTCACCTCAATCTTAAATAACCTATCCATTACAATGTCCCCTGTTTCCTGACTCCAGGCCAGGGAAACATTTAATCTACATGCTCCTTGGCACAACCTATAAATTTTTTATAAGCTTCAAAGAGGTCACTCCCTCATTCTTTGAAACTCTAGGGATTAGAAATCCAGTCTCCTCAATCACTCCTCATAAAACAGTCCCACCACCCCAGGGATTAATCTGGGATTAAACCTCCATTGATTTCTCTCTATGGCAAGTACATGAAGCAAGACCCTTTTAGTCCGTCACTCAAATCCTCTTACAAAGAAGGTCAACACATTATTTTCCTTCCTTATTAATTGCTCCCTCTGCAGGTTCATTTTAAGGACACTTTGGACACAATCTCTCACCATTTAAGAAGTTCCCTGCCTTCTCTGGGTTGCATCTTATAGGACCTTGAACAGTGTGAGCTTTGGCAAGAAATCTGGGAGAATCATGTGAGAAATTAGGCAAGGCTTTCTCAATGTCGAGAGCAAATTGTTGCAATTTCTAACAGACATTTGGGTGTCAAGACATATTCTTGCTAGGAGTGGTGAGATGCCTACTAAAGGGAACTATTCCTTGTTAACAGACTCGTCAACAATAAATCATGTCTCATTGATATGCAGTTTCCTACCCTACTACCTGCCACAGAGAAACTACACGCTGACAATTCCTGAAAGTTGGATGGGGTACCTGATAGCTTCAATTTGCCACTCATTCCTTCATGCTGCTGTCTTGCACACCTGGCACCAGCCTCAGGGCACAAGCAGTGGCCACAAGATAGCCCCACGACTACACTGGTCCATGGACATTGGCATCTGACATGTGCCCAGCCTCCCCACATTGTCATGGTATATCTCCGATCCACTTACAGTATGCACTTTAAAGGTGGACCTTGGGGCTCACTGGCAACCATTATTGCATTGTTGCTGCAAGGATACCTTACACTCAGGGATATGCAACCAGCTCATAAACTAGACCAGTTACTCATCAAGGCTGTTTGCTTGCTGTCTTAGCACTCACTCACTTTGAGCCTTCCAGGATACTCTCAACTTCCCTGCCTTGCCTTGCCTTTGTGTGGTGTACATCCTCGGCTAGAGATACCAGGCTCACAGTACTTCTGTATTACCTTGCACAAAGCTTGGAAGCATGTCAATACTTTCAGAGGTTCTCAGTCAGGTCTTAGGAGAGACATCTTTCAGTCAGAGTGTCCCAGCAGAGTAAGTCAAGGGCAGCCTCCAATAATAGCCCAGGAATTTGGACACAGTCAGCTACTCAGGTCAGGATGCTCTCCTTTGACTGGGTGAGGAGCCCAACATCTGGCAGCCCACCATGCTTCTTGGCTCTTTCTGCCTTCTATTGTGGGCTGCTTTCTCTTGCAATAAGAGAAACCGAGGTATTAAGGGAGATCGAAGTGGTTGCCATAGCTGGTGTACCTCACAGAAAGGTGCTGAGGTGTTCTGAGAGAGTACAGAGGGAATGCAGGGTAAGTAGTGTGCGGAAATCGGGTAAGTGAAAATGAGTAACATTGCGTGCATTAGTGAGAGAGATAAAGCATGAGCCTTGATGAGGGGGGCGTGTAGTTGCAGAGATAGAGTGAGTGTGAAGGACCAGCCAGCAGATGGCGTCTCTTACTCTGGCCAAGAAGATAAGGTCGTTGACTTCTTCCTACATTGCTGGGCATTGCTCCAGACAACTGACGATGCAATGATAATATCAGACCAGGCTGGCAATGTCCGATGGTATGGCATCCTCTGCCTGACCTGAGGAAGAGGCATCCCTCCCCTATACCACCCCATTCACCAGGATCCCCAGCTGCCTGTCCACAAAGTAAGGTGCCAATTTCCCCTTATCTGCCACATCCGGGAAAAATGTCACAAACTGTGCAGAGCAGCTCCAGAATGATGGTGCTGGTTCGGGTGCACATATTTCAGAGATGGCATGTGTGATTGGGATACCAGTCTACTCCTGGATATCCCAGCATTGGTGAGCTCTTCAAGACACAGCAAGACATAGAATCAGGCAAGCATTTGACAAGAGCATTGCTATAGAGGTAGGATGGACAGTTAATGAGTGAGTTTGAGATCCTCATCCTCCCTCCTTAAATAGTAGGTTTACATTTGCTATTTTCCAGTTTGAAGAAACCTTTCCCGAATCTATAGCATCTTTGAAGATAACTACCAATCCAATTATTACCTCCCTAGTCACTTCCATTAGCACTCCTTGAAGCTTATCTGGTCCGGGGAATTTATCAGCCTTCAATACAGTTAACTTATCAAACACTACCTTTCTATTAATGCTGATTCCTTTTATTTTTTCAGTTCTGCAAGCCCCTGGTCTCCTAGCCTTGCTGGGAGATTTTCTGTATCTTATTCCGTAGCGACAGACTTAAAATAACAGTGCAGATTCTCCACCATTTCTCTATTACTCACCGTAAATTAGTCTGTCTGCCCTAGTAAATGGGCCCACAAAGCTTTCATGTTCATCATTAGCTTACATTCATGTTCTTTATTCCTTTTGTAATGGGTATCTTGGTCATCCTTTACTAGAATCTAAATTGATCCCAATCCATAGACTTACCATTTTCTGTCTGCTATCCTTTGATCTAATGTGGTCTTTAACTTAGAGTCGTAGAGTCATAGAGTTGTAAAATGCAGAAACAGACCCTTAGGTCCAATTCATCCATGTTGACCAGATATTCAAAACTGAACTAGTTCCATTTGCTGGCAATTGGTCCATATCCCTCTGAAGGCTTCCTAATCATGTACCCATCCATCTTTTAAATGTTGTAATTGTACCAGCCTTCATCACTTCCTCTGGCAGCTCATTCCATACACACCACCCTCTGCGTGAAAAAGTTGTCTCTGAGGTCCCTTTTGTATCATTCCCATCTCACCTTAAATCTATGCCCACTAGGTTTGGACTCCCCTACTGTGAGAAAAAGACCTTGTCTATTTATTCTATCCATGCCCGTCATGATTCTATAAACCTTTGTACGGCCACCCCTCAGCCTCTGACTTCTTTAATTATCCACTGTTGATATACCTTTCCCATATCAGATTTGTGCATGAAAGGAAAATACATCTGTTGCAGACTATGTAACATTTTTTAAAAAAATACTAGCCATTGCCAATCCAATGACAAATATCTCAGAGTACTTTTAATAACCACAATAGCTGATTTGTACATTATGCCTTCATAATTTCCTCACCCTCCCTTAATAGCTTTGTGTGTCTACTTAAATTAAATGGACTGCAGTGGTTCAAGAGGGAGCTCGCCAAAGGCAACAAGCCCACATCCCTTAAAAGAGTAGAAAAATCTTTCTCTCGATTCTGACTTGATTTTGTTTTTAACTGTTGCTCATCTGTCTTCTATTTACACCTTTACATTTCTATTTGCTTTTATCAGTTTTGTTTCCCTCAAAATCTGAGCTCTCATTTACAGGTACTCAGCCCCTTGACAATCTCTTTTAGAACCTCTGCATTCATACTAACAAGTCTCCCTGTGAAGATATTAGTCCTGGTCCTGCTATGATGTTGTCCAACATGTACAGGTCCCATTTGTCCCTAAATGTGGAAATCTGGTGCTATCGCTCCTGCACCATGTCTCCAGTCACATGTTCAATCATTCAATTTCCCTATTCCCATGCTCCTTAGCACCTCAGACTGACAGTAATCATAAGGTTACTGTTTTTGAAGTTCATCTTTTCGATCACTTTCCTAACTCCCCAAAATATTGAACCTGGCTACTTTCTAGCTTAGTCATTGATATTGATGTGGATCATGACCTCTAGCTTTTCACTCACCCCCACAAGAATATCCAGCAGCCATTCTGTGACATCCTTGACCCTGATACCAGGGAGGTAACCTGTCATCCCAGATTCATGTCCATGACCATAGAAATAAAAATCTGTTCACTTTGCTGCAAATCACCTGTCACAAGTGCTCTTCGCCTCATTAGAGCTGAGCTGTGAGGCTTCTTACGAACTTACCTCTGACCACACTCTTCTGAGACACCAATTAATCATAGAATCATAGAATCCCCATAGTGTGGAAACAGGCCATTTGGCCCAACAAGTCCACACCACCCTTCCGAAGAGCATTCTACCCTAACTCCTTCCCCTACCCCGCATTTCCGTATGTCTAACCCAAACACCTCTGAACACTATGGGCAATTTAGCATAGCCAATCCACATAGCCTGCACATCTTTAGACTGTGGGAGGAAATCCGAGCACCCAGAGGAAACCTCAAATTACCTCAACAGTGTCCAAAATCAATTAGTGAGTGGGACTTCACTGGAATACTGCACTGCCTGATGGTTACTCATTCTCAGTTTACCCCCATATTCCTAGCCTGCAATGTAACCAACTCTTTGAACTTGCTATCCATGCAACTCTCAGCCTCCTGGATACACCACAGTGTCTCCAAATGCTGCTTAAGCTCCAAAACCTGATGTTCAAGTTTCTGCACATGGTGAAACACTTCCTGCACACACGATCATTTAAATCATAGATACTTCTCACATTCCACAGGGTACACTTCCACATGACCATGCCATCCTACCATGCCTTATTTTACATCACTGATGTAACTTTGTTTCAATTTGCTTTACTTATATTAACTTACTTTACTTGCCTTAACTAATAATCTGCGCTAATAATTAATACTAATAAATGTTATAACTATTGACAAACCTCACCAGTTCTGTTAAATCTAATACTTAACACATTTACTAGTTACAATAAATTAAGCACCACTTCAGTCGTTAAAAAACTTGCATCTACTAATAAATTCAGGAATTTTGAAAGGTGATTGAGCTAAATACTCTCCCGAATCCTTGTGGTGACACTTTTATTTTTCTCTGTGCACTGACACATGATGCCTCTCTAAACTAACAACCTTTTACCTCTATGTGATCCAATATCCCTAGGGCTCTCAACCTGATTTAACAGCTCACCAGGTCTTTGCCTTCTGTCCCTGTTTTGACCTTTCACCAGGGCTCTCGGCCATGTTGTTTTAATTGCTCATCGGGTCTTTCTAATGTATATATGAACATTTCAGTTTGATCCATTCCAAAAATGAATTTTAATTCATGTAGAATTTATAAGTATTGATGTTACATTGAATTTTGCAGCCACAAAAATGATTTCCATTAATTAACTTACAACTGGCACTATCGGTTGCAGGACTGCTTCAATACAGTTGGGACTCTGCTGCTTTAGGCATGCAAGGCCTTGGACTGAGATCAGAGGTTGCCATTGACATACAGTGCCATGCCCCCCTGACTAAAGGGTGTCTCCCTGCACCCCTCCTGTTTAGACTTTTGAGAAATTGACATTTGCTTGTAGCATATTCATTGCATTTGGCGAGCATGTAGCTGGCACACTAAGGCTTGAGGCAGCTGCTGCCAAGGTATAGTTGGGAAAGACCACCATTGAAATGTCTTCCTGCCAAATATAACAAGTGTACAAGTTCCAAGACTCTCTCACTGCCTCCAAAAGAAATGTAAGCAGTTTCCTGCATGAGTGGGAAATGTCTTTGTTTTGCAACTGCATGGAATCTCTGAGAAATGTCAAATGCCAATGTGTTGCCAATCTCTCTCTCTGCGATGCCTGTACAGAACTAGTTTTGCACTTTATTGTATGCACTTTTAGATCATTTCTTATGAGGAAAGTATATTTTTGCAATAAAAAGAATTTGGCAAGTATGCAGCTGGCACATGGTACAGGTGCAAAGTTGATGCAGCCCATCCAGTTAAGGGTCCAAAGCGCAAAAAGGCAAGGCAAAGCTGGGCTGCTGTGAACATCCACGTAGGTGCAAAGTGAGTGAGCACTAAGTGAGCAAGCAAGCAGCCTGAGCTACAGCCTGGTCCAGTCCATGAGTTGAGAGCCTGTCCTGCACACATAGTGCCCTGCAGCACATTCTAATGAGAGGAGCCAATGCACACTAAGCGCAGCATTAACTTGCAGCAGTGTACTATAAGTGGATCAGGGATATGCCATGATGATGCAGTGAGGCCAGTATATGTCAGATCGAATGGCTGTGAATATGGGGTGCGTGCAGCCAGTGCCCAAGGAGACTGCCCTGAGAAGTTAGTGCCCAGTACCCAGGATGGAAATCCAGAGAAGCAACTGGAATCGTTTGGTAACCATTTTGCCTTTCATGTCAAGAATTCTCAGTATCTAGCATCTATCAGCTGGGTGGGAGAATGGGACATACATATTAATGAGGCAAGATTAGGTAGTAAAAGGATTATAATGAGCAATAATCCCCGTTAAGTGGCCTCCATTGCTCACTAACAAGAATCACACCTTTACTTCTTGGACTTGATTGGAAAACGCCACGTTTTGGTCTTAATATTGAGATGGTCCTTACTTAACATTGTACCCAATTTCCCTAAATTTCTCATCATAGTCCACATCATTCAGGACATGGGAAGGTTCCACTCAATGAGTTTAGAAGAATTAGATGCGATCTAATTGTGGTGTATAAAATGCTAATGGGGGTTGACAAAGTAGACACAGAAAGGACAATTCCTCTTGTGGGGCAATTAGAACAAAATGTCATTGTTTTAGGATAAGGATTAGCAGATTTACATCAGTGAAGAGGAGAAATTACTTCTCTCAAAAGGCTGTGGATCAGTGGATTCCACTACACCATAGTGTGGTGGATACTGGAACATTGAGTAAATTTAAAGAGGAAATAGACATTTTTTAATTAATAATGGGTTGAAGGATTATGGAGAGCAGGCAGGAAAGTGGAGTTGAAACTGAGTTGAGATCAGTCATGAGTGTATCTGCTTGAAGGGCTGAATTGCCTATTCCTATTCCTAGTTCTTGTGTTCTTATGTTATATGGACCAGTTTTCAAATAATAAGACATATTATTTTCCATAGGTTGGAGCCTCAGTGAACGGCAATCAATTCCAGTTTAAGTTGTGGTATGAGAAAGGAAATGATGATGATGGAGACTGCTTGTTTTCCAAGCCTGGTTCCTTTCATGCATTGGATGGATTCCCAAACTGTCATCTAACCAGTGTTGTGGTGAACTTCTTTCTGGCCAAGACATCAAAGATACTAAGTGTTGGATTCGACCCTCGATTGGCAAGGGTAGCTCACCCAGGTAAATGAGCTATCCCATTATGCTGTCCCTCTGTTATTAGAGCTACTAGATGGTGATAACTAAGTTTAATTTGGTTTTGTTCATCTTCAAGTGTAAGTGATAATCTTAAGGACAAAATTGCCCAATGAACATGGCTGATCTGGCAGCTATAGAAATTGTTTCTTTTATGTATTTCAAGGAGATTGAGAGGGCACCTCCTTCTTAAGTAAAGTGCACCCTCTGGTCATTAATCAACCAACCCTTTAAAGATTGTGTCAGCTAATTACTCTGACACATTACAAGTTCAGGTTCCACATCTGATTCCAACTCCAAAGAAAAAGTCCAACATATGTTGTCAAATAAACTACTTGATGTGATAAAATCTTAGATTCGTTTTATCTTTAGATCATGAAACTAAAAAGCAAAGATTAAAATTAAACATCAGATAACCGTTTACATTCTCCTGGGGAAGGTTCACATTGAGTTTCTTTAGGTAGTTTTTCCTCATATAAAGAAATTTATTCGATTGCAATATTTCCGTGCTCTTCAAGGTGCTGTTCCAAGACAGGAAGATATACGTTGGCTTAGAAATGATTTGTTTTGTTGGTCGGCACATTCTTTAGACTGTAGCACATCTTTGAGAAGTGACTCCTTTACTATAGTGAATGCATTTATGGTGTATGGCTGGATAGTTTTGTCTTCACTGATGGTGGGTATTGGGTCCACACTTGACAAGGTAATGTAGTATCAGATTGTTTAGGATTTCACATACAATATTTGTTTAAGAGAAGAAGCCAGTTGAATGCTGCGTTGTGTTTAAAGTGGTGAACACTCTCTTTAGAACCTTCTGCATTAAATGAAAATTTTGCCTCATAATGCTCTTTGAACAATTTTTAGGCTGTGTATCAATGGCAATTTGGACAGCTCATTCTAGAGGTAGACCCTATTTTGATCAAACAAGTTCAGTAACTGATTCATCTGAAAGATCAATGAAAATTCTGTTGCAAATGAGAGCCTCTCGTGCATTTTTATATTTGCATGGTTCATTTGTACATTTGGCCATGAATGAGGCTACCTACAAGACTCTTCTGTAAATTAGTAGCTGCTACTAAAGTGTGATCTCGCCAGTGTCACATGCAAATAAATTACTTACAAATTAGCAAAGAGATAAGAGCATTGGGGAAGTGAACACACGGCTGAAGAAGCAGTGTGGGAAAGAGGAGTTCCATTTTGTGGGCCACTGACATCAGTATTGGGATAGAAGGGAACTGTACTGTCAGGAAGGGCTCCACCTGATCCGATCAAGGACCTAGTGGAAAGACTAAATAGGATGGCCACAAGGACTTTAAACTAGTTAAAGGAGGGAGGGCTCAGCAGAGGTTATTAAAGTTTCCAGAACAAGTAACAGTAGACAGTATGGAAAGGGTCAGGAATCTAACTTCAGGAACAGCAGATAATGGTTTGAAGGGTTACAAGATGATGAGAGGCATAGATAGAGTGGACAGTCAGAGACTTTTTCCCAGAGCAGAAATGACTATTACAAGGGGGCATAATTTTGAGGTGATTGGAGGAAGGTATAGGGGAGATGTCAGAGGTAGGTTCTTCACACAGAGAGTGGTGAATGTGTGGAATGCACTGCCGGCAGTGGTAGTGGAGTCAGATACTTTAGAGACTTTTAAGCAACTCTTGGATAGGCACATAGAGGATAGTAAAATGTAGGGTATGCAGGGTAGATTGATCTTAGTAGGATAATAGGTCGGCACAACATCGTGGGCCAAAGGGTCTGTACTGTGCTGTACTGTTCTATGTTCTGTGTTCTAAGGGGGCGGTCATAAAGGGACTGAGGGTGTTATACTTAAGTGCATGAAATAAGGTAAATAAGCTTGTAGCACAGATCGCAATTGGTAGGTAATATGGTGTGGGCATCACAGAAGTATGGCTTCAAGGGGATCAGGTTTGAGAACTGAATACACATCCTATCAAAAGGATGGGCAGAGGGGGCGGGTTGCCTCATTAGTAAGAAATGAAATTAAATTGATAGCAAGATAGCAAGAAAAGACATAGGGTTGGAAACTATAGAATCTATATGGTCGAAACTGCAAAGAGCAAAAAGACCCCAATGGGAGCTGTATGCAGTCCCCCGTACAGAAAATAAATCAAGAGATAAAAAAAGCCATGCAAGAAAGGCACTATTACAATAATCATGGGACCCAGATTTGATTCCAGCCTTGGGTGGTGGTGTGTGGACTTTGCACATCCTCAACATGTCTGCTTAGGTTTCCGCCGAGTGCTCCAGTTTCGTCCCATGGTTCAAAAATGTGGAGTTTGTATGGAGATGGGCCATGCTAAAAAACCCTATGGTGCCCAGGGATGTGCAGATTAGGTAGATTAGCCATGATAAATGCAGGGTTACAGGGTTAGGGTGGAGGACTGGGTCAGGTTGGATGTGCTTCGCAGGGTGAATGCAGACGGGTCGAATGGCGTCTTTCTACACTGTTATGATTCTATGACTTCAATATGCAGGTGGACTTGGGAAATCAGGTTGGTAGCAGATCCTAAGAAAAGGAATTTATGGAATGTTTACATGAATTTTTTTTGAGATAGACCTCACTTGGAAAGAGTAATTCTGGATTTGGTGATGTTTAGTAAGGCAGACTTGATTAGGGAGCTTAAGATAAAGGAACTTCTAGGGGGCAGTGATCACAATATGATAGAATTCACCCTGTAGTTGAAAGTGGGAGAAGCTGGAATCAGATGTAACAGTATTACAATTGAGGGAGGAACTGGTCAGCTTTGATTGGAAGGGGAGCCTAGCAGGGAAGTCGGTCAAGCAGCAATGACAGGAGTATCTTGGGATAATTCAGGGGGCACAGCAGAAATTCATCCCAAGGAAGAAGAAACAAGCTAAAGAGAGGATAAGGCAACCATGGCTGACAAGGGAAATCAGGGACAGCATCAAAACAAAAGTGAAAGCATACAATGTGATGAAAATTAGTAGGAAGCCAGAATATTGGGAAACCTTTAAAAATCAGCAGAGGATAACTAAAAAAAACAATAGAGGGAGGAGAAGATGAAATATGAGGGTAAACTAGCTAGTAATACAAAATAAGAGTGCAAAAGGTTTTATTTTAGTTTTATAAAAAGGTAAGAAAGATGTAACAGTGGGTATTGGACCACTGAAGAAGTAGTAATGGGGAGCAAAGAAATGGCAAAGGAACGGAATAGGTCCTTTGCATCATTCTTCACAATGGAAGACCCCAGTAACACCCCAGAACTCCAACAGAGTCAAGGGCCAGAGGTGAGTGTTGTGGCCATCACTAAGGAGAAGGTGCTAGGGAAGCTGAAAGGTCTGAAGGTGGATAAATCACCTGGACCAGATGGAATACACCCCAGGGTTCTGAAGGAGATAGATTGTGGAGGCATTGGTGGTGATCTTTCAGAAATCACTAGAGTCAAGGACAGTCCAAGATGACTGGAAAATGGCTAATGTGACATCCTTGTTTAAGAAGGAGGGAAAGGCAGAAGATGGAAAATTATAGACTAATCAGTCTGACCTCAGTTGTTGGTAAGATTTTAGAGTCTATTATTAAGGATGAGGTTGCAGAGTACCTGGAAGTGCATGGTAAAATAGAGCTAAGTCAACACGGCTTCATCAAGGGGAGGTAATACCTGACATATCTGTTAGAATTCTTTGAGGAGGTAATGAGTAAATTAGACAAAGGACAGCCAGAGGATGTGATTGATTTGGATTTTCGGAAGGCTTTCGACAAGGTGTCGCACTGGAGGTTGCTAAATAAGACAAGAGCTTGTGGTGTTAGGGGTAAGGTACTGGCATGGATATAGGATTGGCTGACTGGTAGAAGGCAGACAGCAGGGTTAAAGGGATCTTTTTCAGGTTGGTAGCAATTGACTATTGAAGTTCTGCAGAGGTCAGTATGGTACTGCAGCTATTCATGTTATACATTAACAATCTGGGAAAAGGAATGGCGAGCATTGTTACTTAGTTTGAAGATAGCACAAAGATAGGAGGAGGGATACGTAGTTTTGAAGAAGTGGACAGGATATAGAAAAAGACTTGGACAGGCCAGGAGAGTTGCAAAGAAGTGGCAAATGGAAGGCAATGTGGGAAAGTGTGAGGTTAAGCACTTCACTAAGAAAAATAGACATGGAGACTATTTTCTGAACAGGGAAAGGCTTTGGAAATCAGAAGCACAAGGGGACTTTGGACACCTTGTTTAGGATTCTCTTAAGGTTAACATGCAGGTTCACTTGGCAGTTAGAAAGGCAAATGGAATGTTAGTATTCATTTCAAGAGAGCTAGAATACAAAAGCAACTATATACTGCTGAGGCAGTATAAGGCTCTAGTCAGACAGCGTTTGGCAGTCAGAATATCGTGAACAGTTTTGGACCCTGTATCTAAGGAAGGATGTGCTGCCTTTGGAGGAGGTCCAGAGGAAGGTCACAAGGATGAGCCCAAGAATGAAGGGCTTATCATATGGGGAGTGGTGAAGGACTCTGGGTCTATACTTGACGGAGTTTAAAAGGATGAGGGACATCTGATTGAAACTTACAGAATACTGAGAGGCCTGGACAGAGAAGAAGTTTACACTAGTAGGAGAGACTAGGACCCAAGGGCATAGCCTCAGAGTGAAGGGACAACCCCTTAGAACTGAGATGAGGAGGAATTTCTTCACTCAGAGGGCAGTGAATCCGTGGAAGGCTGTGGACACCAACTTATTGAGTGTGCTTAAGACAGAGATAAATAATAAGGGGATCAAGCGTTATGGGGATAAGATAGGGGAATGGGGCTGAGAAGCATAATGCGGAGCAGATTCAATGAGCTGTACAGCCTAATGCTCCTTTCTCTTATGATATTATGGTCTTGTCTTATTTGCCCGTGAACTGAAATATTAATTAAAAGCTATTAGGTGGTTAACGAATGTAATTTGTTTCTCATCAATATTTGTCTAAGTAATTCATGATCAGGTGTTTTCCCATATGTAGTCGGGAAATGGGCTAACCTGTTCTTCATTTGACTTGGTATCAAATCCTGAAGCTGTTTGAAAACTGAATTTTTCTGGTGGAAGGAGCAGCGCAGGTGAATCTTACTGCACTGTCTGATTCTTGGGGATAAGCATTTAAAATTGTCAATTAGTTTCTTGATTTGGATGATGATTCAGCCAGGAGGCTGAAGTGTTAAATGTAGGAGCTTTATTGTGAAGGTGTTCACTCAGCAGGGAGCAAGCTTAGAGACAGAGCTGTTTGTAACCCCATAAACTCCAATGGCATCATCATTATGTCACATGATCAGATTCTTAAAGTGATAGTCCACTATACAGAAACAAATTGACCAGTTAGGATCTCGATCTCCTGGTATTACATTTGTTGTATCCTTAGTTTGTCAAAGTTGATTTTGAATCTGAATCTGAATCTTTTGTTGTTACAAAGACTATGGTTGCAGTACAAAACAGAAACTGATAAAGTTTCTAGAGGTATCAATATTGCATCTTATGTAAAGATTGGTTCTCTTTTACCAATCTGGTGCCTGTTTAGATGCGAATGTACATATTCTTTTTTCTGAGATGGCCAATTTATTTCTGAAAGATCTGTGGGTAGAAACTTTCTTAAAAGGCTGCGTTAGCTTTTTCCACCACTAACATTAGACTGATCGGTCTACAGTTGTGGGCTATATCCTTCTCAGCTTTCATAACATTTGCAATCCTCCCTGGCACTACACCCATTTCCTAGGAGGTTTGGAAGATTTTAGTCAAAGCCTCTCCAATTTCTGGCATGTAAAGCCTTCATGACCCTGGGGTAACCCTGTAATGATGTCATGAGATGCTCTTCACCAAGCTTAAAGAGCACAGTATGTGCAAAATTAGTTAGATTAGAAGAGAGAAACACAAGCAGAGAAGCATGTGGAGTAGATTAACGAGCATGACTGTAGACCAATTGGTCTAATGTCAGTGATGGGAAAACATTTAAAGGCAATAATGTGGAACAAAATTAATTGACCGTTGGAAAATATAGGCTAATAAATGGAAGTCAGCACAAAATAGTGAGAACAAGGTGTAGAACTGGATGAACACAGCAGGCCAAGCAGCATCAGAGGAGCAGGAAAGCTGACTTTTTGGGTCTGGATCCTTCTTCAGAAAGTTTTCTGAAAAAGGGTCCAGGCCTGAAATGTCAGCCTTCCTGCTCCTCTGATGCTGCTTGGTTTGCTGTGTTCATCCAGCTCTACACCTTGTTATCTCAGATTCTCCAGCATCGGCAGTTCCTACTATCTCAGCACAGAATAGCGCTTGGGAGAGTTTATAATTAGGTTGACTTCACTGAGCAGCCTGAAGTTGTTTCATTATCATCTGTGAACACAGTGTAACCCCAGGTCTGAGTTCCTCCAATCACCTCTTCCCACTGAGTGCTGGGACACCACCTATGGATCCTATCGACAATTCCCCACTTCCAACAAGAACAGCTGGTGGACCACTCCAGAGTGTCATGCAGGACTATGGGAGTGTTCATGTAAATGTTGATATTAAGATCAGAGAGGCCTCTGCATCACTGCCTGCTTGAAGCCCACACGCAGCACTTCCAAGTCCAACTCACACCCCCACTGCATTTTAGAATCAGTAATAAAATCTCAGAATACAGAAACTCTTATGAATCATAGCCAGCCAAAAACAATGAACTTATCTCAGTTTATTTTGACAACTGGATTTTATTGAAAGCAACTTTCCTTTTGTACATTTAATGGATGGAGAGGCTTTTTGATAGTTGTGGTGGGATGGATTGGGACGGATTTGGGGGTTTGTCTAATATATGAAGGGAATGGGCTTGGCGACTGAACGGCCTTTTTCATTCTATGACTAAGTTTAATTGTCTTATACCAATGACTTTACCAATATGATTGAATTTTAATTCTTCATAGAGTTTTTCATTGATGGACTTGGCAGACTGCTTGTGGGGTCGTGCAATGATGTCATCGTTAGCCATCAAACAACAATGAGTCCATCAAATAATACGCTGAAAGCAATTGAAGAAAAATATGCCAAATACCGAAGACGGGCTCAATGGGAAACAGATCTGAAGCATCGTCTACATTATTTCAAAAACCACTTAAAATGTTATAGCAAGATTTAATGTCTGTGGTTGAATACAATCTCAGGTTTCCTATACTGCTAACTCTACCTCGCTCAACCCCACCACATTGTCAGACTACTTCATTGACATCTATTCCAGGATTAACAGAAATTTCATGCAATTAAAGTTATATTTATTCTTTCATGGAATGTGGGCTTCACTGGTTACCTATCCCTAATTGCCATTGAGAAGGTGGTGAGCTGACTTCTTGAACCACTATAGTCCATCTGCTTAACATCAGCAAGATAATGCTATTTTCCTTCATTCCTGACATAAGCACCATCGCCTAGCCACCAATTCTATCATCCCACCACCTTCCCCCCTCAGTCACTGCTCCAACGAACTGCTCATAAATGTGGTGTCCTATTTGAACATAGCTCAGTTTCTAACCACATGCCCTGTCAATCACCAACATTTCCTATTTCCACACTTTCCCCTTCATCACCTGCTGAAACCCTCATTCATACTTTCAGCTTTGACTGTCCAAATATTCTGCAGACTGACTTCCCATCTTCCACCTTCCTTAAACTTGAGCTTATCCAAAATTCTGTTGGCTATATTCTAATATACACCAAGTCCTGTTTATCCATCAGCCCTATACCCACTAACCTATATTGGCTCTTGGTGCACCAATTCCTTAATACTAAAATCCACATCATTGTTTTTAAAATCCCTCCGTGGCCTGACCCCTTCCTATCTCTGTAACCTCCTTCACCTCACCAACCCTCCAAGAATCCTCCAACTCTGCCCTTTTGTGCATCTGCCAACACTTTTTTTGCTTTACACTGTCAGCTGTACCTTCGACATTACGATCACTAAACTCTGATTTTCTCTTCCGAAATTGCTTCTCTTATTTAAAATCTAGACACCTTCTCTGGTGTCCTCTTGTTTAACTTGGAGTCGCATTTTGTTTCGTAAGGTTCATAAGAAGTGTATCAGGGCATTTTATTGTGTTGGCTACTATAAAAATAAAAATTGTTGTTGATACCTGATTATACTTCGTTGAAGCACTTTGAGATACGGTATATGCATATAATAAAGATGTGATTTGTTGTTGTATTTAATTGTCTTTGCAATTCATGGTGCTAACATACTTTATGACTTGACAAAGCAGAATGTATATAACAACACAGGTAGAGTCCTTTATCTTTTTCCAATATTCAATGTACCCTCAGGATCCACTAGATCTTGACACAGACCCAGAAAATCACCCCATAAATCCATGGCGTCAAAAGTTAAATCACGTACATAACTCAATTGGCAATTACTCATGGATGAACCCAAATTAGAAAAGCAAGCAACTTATTTTTTTCCAAAGCAGAGCAGTTCAGCCAACGTGAATAATTTTTGATCTCATGTTCACACATTTTCCATCAAAGATTCAATGTAGTTTACTAATGAAAATTCTTGATAATATTTCCTTTGCCTCAAAAGAACATCTTTCAGTGGTAACATACAACTACTGCACACGATTAAATAGATGTCACAAGTAAAATAGAGATATTGGTATCTTTGCAGTTATAGGTAAGTACTAAATCACTCAGCGCTTTCTAATTTAAGCAATTGTGAGTTCACTTACAAAGACTCCTGAAACACTAAATCATTGAATAGATACTGAGAAAAGTGCGTGTTAAGATTCTGGCTGAACATCTCATGTATAGCTAGATCACAATGGCAGCTGTGACACCTTTTTCCAGTTGGTACTTGGAGTAAGATTCTAGAGTGAGAACCAGAAAGAATCCTGGTTGAAAGATTCAATTTCAGACTTTCTCTTCACTTTGTCAGGAAATCAGTTTCAATGAATGCTGTGCAATTATCTTCTACAGGTCAAGTAATAATTTTACAATGACCTATTATTTGATGTTATATGTATTGGGGTATTGCTTAAAATAATATTAGTATCAAGCTATCCTGATATTTTTTTTTAAAGTTGAGGTTCTGTTGAAGAGTAAATTTGCACCATAGAAAATTACAATGGTGAAAAATGACTCCTGCAAATGAAGGCTACCATAATAAATGCAAATATGTGTTGAGATTTGAATCAATAGAATTATTTGTGTATACGTATGCATATTTATCATTATTTACAGCTGCTGCTTCTTTCAGAAGATGACAGTAGTATAGAAACATAGAGGATAGGAGCAGATGGAGGCCATTCAGCCCTTTGAGCCTGCTCTGCCATACTTCATGATCATGGTTGATCATCCAACTCAATAGCCTAATCCTGCTTTCTCCCCATAACCTTTGATCCCATTCACCCCAAGTGCTATGTTTAGTCGCCTCTTGAGTGCATTCAATGTTTTGGCATCAACTACTTCCTGTGGTAATGAATTCCACAGGCTCACCACTCTTTGGGTGAAGAAATGTCTCCTCATCTCCGTCCTAAATCGTCTACCCCGAATCCTCATACTGTGACCCCTGGTTCTGGACACACCCACCACCGGGAACATCCTCCCAGCATCTACCCTGTCCAGTCCTGTTAGAATTTTACAAGTCTATATGAGATTCCCCATCTAGCAAACTCCAGCAAAAACAATCCCAACCTAGTCAATCTCTCCTCTTACATCAGACCCGCCATCCCTGAAATCAGCCTGGGAAACCTTTACTGCATTCCCTCAAAAGCAAGAGCATCCTTCCTCAGAAAAGGAGACCAAAACAGAACACAATATTCCAAGTGTGGTCTCACCAAGGCCTGTACAACTGCAACAAAACATCCCTGCTCCTGAACTCGAAGCCTCTCGCAATGAAGGCCAACATACCATTTGCCTTCTTTACCGCCTGCTGCACCTGCATGCTTACCTTCAGCAACTGGCGCACAAGGACACCCAGGTCCCACCGTGCATTTCCCTGTCCCAAAGATGGATTTTAATCAACTGATTAGAAGTATCTACTCAGACTAACAGAAGTTAGTATTAAATGAGCAACCTAGTGCAAATACTTGAGGTTTAGTGAGAATATTCCAGGCATTGAACATTATTAGGTGCACATAAACCCCAATTTTACTAATTATTTGTTAGCTAAGATAGCATGTTCTTTAATGTTTAGGGCCTTTGTCGTGCAGTGGTAGTGTCTCTGGCCTAGAAGGTCTAGGTTTAAGTCGCATCTGCTCTGGAGATGTGTCATGATATTTCCAAACAGGTTGCGCATTCGATAGCAGACATTCAAAAGAACAGGTGCAACAGTAAGATTGAATATTTTTAGCCACTTAATTAACAATTATAAGAATCAATTGAAAATATTTAACCAGAAATTGAGAAAGAAAAACGTTTCAATATATTAATTTTCATTTGTTCAGGGGACGTGAGCATCGCTGGCCAGACCAACATTTATTGCCCATCATTAATTGGAGACGGTAGTTGTGAGCTGATTTCTTAAAATGCTGCAGTTTCAGCCTGTAGAAAAACACACAGGAAGGTAGGAATGGAATGTCTGTATTCTGTTCCTGATACAATGAAGGAAATGCATCATACTTCCAATTCAAACTTTGTTCTGAATGGTGTCAAATTTCTTGACTGTTGTTGGAGGCTGTAGTTTGCTGATGATGGTGGGTAGGTTGAAGGAGCTAAGTTGGATTTGTCCTGCTTTTCATACAGAGGATGTAGCTCAGCAATTCTCCATTTTTATAGCCAGAGTCTTTCACAAGCTCAGGGTGTCTTTAAGTGCTTGTCAAACGAGCAAATATTTTTGAAGTGCTGACACTGTTGTAATGTAAAATGCAGGACTTTAGGCAAGACAAAGAACATAGAATATAGATCAGTACAACACAGTACAGTCCCTTCAGCCCATGATGTTGTGCTGACCTATTATCCTATGCTAAGATCAAACTAACCTGCAAACCCTACATTTTACTATCATCCATATGCCTATCCAAGAGTTGCTTAAATGTCCCTAATGTATCTGAATCTACTACCACCGCTGGCAGCGCTTTCCACACACCCACCACTCTCTGTGTGAAGAACCTACCTCTGACATCTTCCCTATACCTTCCTCCAATCACCTTAAAATTATGCCCCCTCGTAATAGCCATTTCTGTCCTGGGAAAACGTCTCTGGCTATCCACTCTATCTATGCCTCTCATCATCTTATACACCTCTATCATGTCACCTCTCATTCTTCTTCACTCCAATGAGAAAAGCCCTAGTTCCCTCAAACTTTCCTCATAAGACCTGCCCTCCAGTCCAGGTAGCATCCTGGTAAGTCTCCTCGAGAGCTTCCACATCCTTTCTGTAATGAGGTGACCAGAACTGAACACAATATACCAAGTGTGGTCTAACCAGGGTTTTATAGAGCTGCAGCATAACCTCGCAGCTCAAACTCAATTCCCCTGCCATTGAAAGCCAACACACCATACGCCTTCTTAACAACCTTATAAACTTGGGTGGCAACTTTGAGGGATCTATGGACATGGACCCCAAGATCCCTCTGTTCCTCCACACTGTCAAGAATCCTGCCATTAACCTTATATTCTGCATTCAAATTCGACCTTCCATAATAAATCACGTCACACTTTTCCAGGTTGAATTCCATCTGCCACTTCTTTGCCCAGCTCTGCATCCAATCAATCCCGTTGCAACCTACAACAGCCCTCCACGCTATCCACAACTACACCAACTTTCGTGTCATCAGCAAACTTACTAACCCACCTTTCTACTTCCTCATCCAAGTCATTTATAAACAGCAGAGATCCCAGAACAGGCCCCTGCTGAACACCACTGGTCACCGAGTTCCAGGCTGAATACTTTCCATCTACTATCACCCTCTGTCTTCTATTGGACAGCCAATTCTGTATCCAGACAGCCAAATTTCCCTGAATCTGATGCCTTCTTACCTTCTGAATGAGCCTGCCGTGGGGAACCTTATCAAATGCCTTGCTAAAATCTCTATACACCACATCCACTGCTATTCCTTCATCAATGTGTTTTGTCACATCCTCAAAGAATTCAATAAAGCTTGTAAGGCATAACCTTCTCCTCACAAAACCATGCTGACTATCTCTAATCAAACTATGTTTTTCCAAATAATCATAAATACTGTCTCTCAGAATCCTCTCCAATAACTTACCCACCACAGAAGTAAGTCTGGTCTGTAATTCCCAGAGATATCCCTATTCCCTTTCTTGAACAAGGTAATAAAATTTGCCACCCTCTAATCATCTGCTACTACTCCAGTGGGCAGTGAGGATGAAAAGATCATCGCCAAAAGCGCAGCAATCTCTTCCCTTGCTTCCCGTGGAAAGCTTGGGTATATCCCGTCTGGCCTAGGGGACATATCTATCCTTATGTTTTTCAAAATTTCTAGCACATCCTCCTTCCTAACATCAATCTGTTCAAGCATATCAGCCTGTTTCACGCTGTCCTCACAAATGACAAGTTCCCTCTCACTAGTGAATTCTAAGCAAAATATTCATTAAGGACCTCCCCTATCTCCTCTGATTCCAGGCACAAGTTCACCAAATTATCCCTCATCGGCCCTACCCTCACGCTAACCATCCTCTTGTTCCTCACATAAGTATGGAATGCCTTGGGGTTTTCCCTAATCCTACCCACCAAGGCTTTTTCATGCCCTCTTCTAGTTCTCCTAAGTCCATTCTTCTGTTCCTTCCTGGCTACCTTGTAGCTCTCTAGAGCCCTGTCCAATCCTTGCTTCTTCAACCTTAAGTAAACTTCCTTCTTCCTCTTCCTCATGTCTTGTCATCCAAGGTTCCTTCACCTTACCATCCCTTCCTTGCCTCAGTGGTACAAACCTATCCAGCACTTGCAGCAAGAGCTCCCTAAACAAACTCCAAATTTCTGTCTTGCATTTCCATGAGAACATCTGTTCCCAATTTATGCACCACATTTCCTGCCTAATAGCATTGTAATTCCCCCTCTCCCAATTAAATACTTTCCCAAACCGTCTGTTCCTGTCCACACTTGATATAGTAAAGGTCAGGGAGTTGTGATCACTATCACCGAAATGCTCTCCCACCAAGAGATCTGACACCTGGCCTGGTTTGTTGCCAAGCACCAAATCCAATATGGCCTCCCATCTAGTCAGCC